GTGGCCTGCAGTGTGGTGAGTGGGTGGGTGAGTGGGTGAGTGTGGTGTTGTGGCCTGAAGTGTGGTGAGTGGGTGGGTGAGTGGGTGAGTGTGTTGTTGTGGCCTGGAGTGTGATGAGTGGGTGAGTGTGTTGTTGTGACCTGAAGTGTGGTGAGTGGGTGGGTGACTGGGTGAGTGTGTTGTTGTGGCCTGAAGTGTGGTGAGTGGGTGGGTGAGTGGGTGAGTGTGTTGTTGTGACCTGAAGTGTGGTGAGTGGGTGGGTGAGTGGGTGAGTGTGGTGTTGTGGCCTGAAGTGTGGTGAGTGGGTGGGTGAGTGGGTGAGTGTGCTGTTGTGGCCTGAAGTGTGGTGAGTGGGTGGGTGAGTGGGTGAGTGTGTTGTTGTGGCCTGGACTGTGGTGAGTGGGTGGGGGAGTGTGTTGTTGTGAACTGCAATGTGATGAGTGGGTGGGGGAGTGTGTTGTTGTGAACTGCAGTGCGATGAGTGGGTGGGTGGGCGAGTGGGTGGGTGAATAATTGGATGGGTGTTATTGTGATCTGCAGTGTGGTAGTTAAACACAGTCAGTGTCTGCTAGACCGAGTCCTCAACACGAGTGGAGAAATCGATGAGTGAAATTCTCGGCAGCAGTAATCGTGGCAGTCGTAGCGATGGATGAGTGAAACGGAGGCGACTGATCACCGGTGAGCGTGTGAGTTAGTGGAGTGCATCAGTGAGTGCTGGAACATCAATCACCCTGACTCTTGCTATACTCTATTGAGTGCAGTGGGTGTTGCAACTGGCTGCTCCATCACAGATATGACAGCAGAATTCCAACTTTGTTTCAATGCTCCCTTCGCCAGATTAGCAATGTAGCCCTTGCCATGTTGCTCTGCTGGTGGGCTGTGGCCTTGCTGCCCGAGACGATGGCTTGGCATTGAGACTGATTTGAGTGACATCTCCGTCGAGTGTGAGACGGGAAGGGAATGAGTCCCGTTCGTTTGTGGGGTAACATGTAGGTGTGTTCACAGCTCCACTCTGAAAGGGTTTATTTTCTTCATCCTAAAGGGTTTGCATTTGCTCACAGCCAGATAGCAGTGAATGCCTCCAGTCTTGTTGGACCTGAGAAGCTAAGCAGGTATGTGCCTGGTTAGTGCTTGGGTAATGCCCGAAAATGTCCCCAAGCCCATACGCAGCCTCACGGCTATTTGAAAATCAACGAAGGTCTCCGATTGGTAGAAAGAGGCCTCCATGGTGATTGTTTGGGAGACTGACTTTTAAAGGGATTGGAGGAATCAGGTTTGAACGAGATCGATCGGAGAACAGAGAGGATCCGTTGTAGGGGAAGGACTGGGATTGGCTCAGGGAAAACCAAGGACAAGAAGGCTCCAGCAAGGGGCCCGAGGAATATTAAAGCGGAGAGAGAGCACGAGGAGTGGGGACGTTGGGAGGAAGTTACAAGCTGGAGTCGGCACGACGCCTAGGGCCCCGTATCGTGGCTGCGTCCCAATAAAGTGGCTCTCACTACGTCGTCGTCAGTCGCCACACTTGGATGGGTGACCGCCATCCAAGTGAGGGGTTTCCTCCGGTTTCTGCGGCCTCCTCCGACGTGAAGCCAAAGCACTCATTGGTGGTACTGGCCAAACATACCAGAGGATTTTTCGAGACTCGGGCTTTCTTGGATACTCTTAGGTCACTGTGAAATATCCAAAACACGGCAATGGCACGCGTGTTGGCCGGAGGGAGAACACTGACATGTTCAATGTCTAATGTATTCGGCTCGAATGTGCATAGAGAACGCGGTTGAAAATATGTAATGGGTTTACATTTTTTTAATAATGTAATGTTTTATTATATTTTATAATGTAATGGGTTTAAATTTTGTATATAATTTAATGGGTTTTAATTATCTTATTATTTTCTTTCTGGAGGCAAGTTGCGCAAAATCGTGCCCAGCTGTTCGTCCGGCGTAGAAACTGTTGCACGTTCACGCGTTGTTTTATTGACTTGAGGAAACGCAGAGGCATCGTGTGTGTGCATGGGGGGACATGCGGAGGGTGGAGGCAGATGTAGAGTGAACATCCGGGTGTAGTTACCCACGTGGGAGAGTGAACAGCCGGGTGTAGTTACCCACGTGGGAGAGTGAACAGCCGGGTGTAGTTGCCCACGGGGAGAGTGAACAGCCGGGTGTAGTTACCCACGTGGGAGAGTGAACAGCCGGGTGTAGTTACCCACGTGGGAGAGTGAACATGCCGGGTGTAGTTAACCACGTGGGAGAGTGAACAGCCGGGTGTAGTTACCCACGGGGAGAGTGAACATGCCGGGTGTAGTTAACCACGTGGGAGAGTGAACATGCCGAGTGTAGTTACCCACGGGGAGAGTGAACAGCCGGGTGTAGTTAACCACGTGGGAGAGTGAACAGCCGGGTGTAGTTACCCACGGGGAGAGTGAACAGCCGGGTGTAGTTACCCACGGGGAGAGTGAACAGCCGGGTGTAGTTACCCATGGGGAGAGTGAACATGCCGGGTGTAGTTACCCACGTGGGAGAGTGAACAGCCGAGTGTAGTTGCCCACGTTGAGAGTGAACATGCCGGGTGTAGTTGCCCACGTGGGAGAGTGAACATGCCGGGTGTAGTTGCCCACGTGGGAGAGTGAACAGCCGGGTGTAGTTGCCCACGTGGGAGAGTGAACAGCCGAGTGTAGTTACCCACGGGGAGAGTGAACAGCCGGGTGTAGTTGCCCACGTGGGAGAGTGAACATGCCGGGTGTAGTTGCCCACGTGGGAGAGTGAACAGCCGGGTGTAGTTAACCACGTGGGAGAGTGAACAGCCGGGTGTAGTTAACCACGTGGGAGAGTGAACAGCCGGGTGTAGTTGCCCACGTGGGAGAGTGAACAGCCGAGTGTAGTTACCCACGGGGAGAGTGAACAGCCGGGTGTAGTTGCCCACGGGGAGAGTGAACAGCCGGGTGTAGTTAACCACGTGGGAGAGTGAACAGCCGGGTGTAGTTAACCACGTGGGAGAGTGAACAGCCGGGTGTAGTTGCCCACGGGGAGAGTGAACATGCCGGGTGTAGTTACCCACGGGGAGAGAACTACAATTCGGGGACCTTTAATTCCGTCAAAGGCTTCATTCTGCTTCAGCCACTTGTTTGTGTTCCATGATTACGACACCTCACGAGGGGGTCCTCTGCCGACTTTTCGCAATGGGGTGGTGGTGGTGGGGGTTGTAGTGGTGGGGTGGTGGTGGTGGTGGGGGTCAGGATGGGGTGGTGGGGGGTGGTGGTGGGGGGTGGTGGTGGGGGTGTGGGTGGTGGTGGTGGTGGGGGTCAGGATGGGGTGGTGGGGGGTGGTGGTTGGGGGTGGTGGTGGGGGTGTGGGTGGTGGTGACGATCTCTCCACCTGCAATTCCCATCGCGTAATTTTGCTGCGGTGTCGCTTTTCAAAGTTTTGGAAACATTTGGACGCCGACGGCGTGCGCACAATGGGGCACTCATTGACGCGCGACACCACGTGATCTTTCGCAGCCGCTGGAGCAAACAGACGCCCTTCTGTAGGGTGGTGGCCTGGAACGTTTCACACCGCGCACCTTCACAATACGTTTTACCCTTTCTGACAACAAAAGAAAAGGCGTTTGGATGTTCAAACACCAAATAGAGACACTCTTACGAGGAATAGCATACTGCATTAACCACACACATCACTTGTGGTTAACACGCAAACAAACACGTGGCTCTAATAATATCTGGGCATTGTCTTTGAAGCTGCTGGCCTACACCAGAAACACCAGAGGCCTCCCTGATGGCCTCGTCCCACCGCCAACGTCAGCCCAGAGAACGACGCCAAAAGGCGAACGCGCTACCGCTCGGCCACCTCACCGGCCCATCACCGATTCGCAAACCTCGGGCGCTGTGTGAATGAGAAGCTGCGCTTGAAGGTCCCCCCTCCTCCGCCCCCCCACCTCCGCCCCCACCCCGTCCTCCTCCCCTCCCCCACCTCCGCCTCCCACCCCGTGAGCTCATTAATATTCATGAGCACGCACCTGCTCACGCACAAGGGCCAAAGGGCCCCAGTGGTGCCTCATTGACTTTCATATTTGGCCTCTTAAGTTCACGACGCCCATTTGGCCTCGATGACACGTAAACAGGTGTAGCCTATTTAACCTATACATTATTAAAACTATAAACCGTTTATTTATTTGTATTTTACTAGGTAAGGCCCACTGAGCTACGTAGCTCTTTTACAGAAACGACCTGTCCACCAATAATCGCCCAACGCAGTGGCTTATCATCACGTGAACATTCACAGCAGCCAAATACTGGTGACGCGTGTTCCTTGGGGTGCTGCTGCGTCCTGATCCTCGGCACACGTTCTTCTCGCTGTTTTCATCAATCTCCAGATGTCACGCTGGGAAGAGCGAGCCTGTGCCCTTCACAGCAGGCAAGAGAGAGGACAGCTCCTGGGCCAGATACGTCTGTAACGGTGGCTAGGAGATGTTAACTACCTCGCCTGGTATACAGCAGATCGTGGGTTCGAGCCCCGACCCTGGCGACGCCTGTATATTTGGAGTTTGTGTGTCTCTCTCCCCGTGGTCGCGTGGATGTTTCTCCACGTCCTCCCGTTCTTCTCTCCACACTTAGAATCAACTTGCGTTTAGAGTTTTTGCCTGCTACAACTTTCCGCGTGCTAAGCCACTTTGTTCGGCTATCATGTGTGGCCAGGTCGCTTCGGAGAAAGAGCTGTATAGCCCAGCGGTCTGAGGCGCGTGGGTAGCATCTCGTAGCATGCAGCAGCGCGCCAATGCCTTGTGTGATGCTACTCCGAGTCAGCCGTACGACCGCCCGCTCCTACTCGCGCGACGTAGCTCCGTTCGCTCGATGGCGTCGCGGCCAATTCGCACCCGCGTCATTAAAAAAAGAAAGATGCGTTCGGCGAGATACATTGATCGCGCGATATCCAATTCGCGTTACGCAGACCACACCCGGCGCTGTCGGAGCGCTGACTGAACGTGCTGCTCGGCGCGTGCAGGTGCCGAGCTGCAGGTGTGCAGCGCGCGCGGCGCCTCGTGCTGCACACGCCGCATGGAGGACGCCTTCGTGGCGGCCGGCGCCCGCGACGCCCAGCAGCTGCTGCAGACGTCCAGCTCGCCGCTGCGCTTCCTGCTGTCCCGCACCGTCACCTCCGTGCACGGTACGACGCGGCGCGCCAACCGCCGCTGCCACGACGCCGCACCGCACCGTACCGCACCGCACCGCGCCACGGCGCGCTCCGCAGCACCGCGCGACAACCCACAAGCCCCCGCTCGCGCTCCCGGCCCCGTGCCGGGAGCGCGCGCGACGTGACGCCGCGACTCCTGGCGAGGCGCTCGCCGAGATGCTGAGATGGGCCGTGCTCGTCGGCGGCGCTCTCCAATTCGCCGGCGTGTCTCGGAGGGCGCGGGCGCACGTAGGCACGCCGAACCTCGTTCGCACCGTACGCGGCCGTCCGCGCTAATCGGAGGTGCGTACGACGGAGGGGGTCGCGAGCCGGCCGCAGCGCCCGATGCCGCGGTCGTGAGCGCTGGAAGAGAGAAGGAGGCGATTGCGCTCACGCTAGCGAGCCGGACTTTTGCGTGTGCGTGTGCGTTTCCGGCGCAGGCACGCACGCGCACACGCGCGCGCGTGCGTGCAGGGACACGTAGAATCCAGCCCAGTTTCAGCTGGCGAAGCCTTGGGACGTGGCGAGGCTTCCGCGTAGGGGAAACGTTGCGTGGAGTATCATAGACTTCTCTTCCAACTCCTGGTTGTGGTTAGTTTGGCGAATGACACTCATCAGCCTCGTTGACACGAAGCTCAAGACCCACTACACAAGGGGCAGTCACGTGGCCCAGCGGTAGCGCCGCGTTCGCCGCTCGTTGCAGATTTTCACGGTTCGAATTCCAACGGCTGCCCTGGTTATCACTGCGGTTTGTTATTAACCACAATAATAATACTACTGCTGCTACTACTGCGTGCCGTCTGCTCGCAGTGGACGTGAAGGATCCCCTGACGTCGTTTGGAGCATTTTGCCGGGCGGCGCCGGGAGTCTCCGGCCCGAAGCCGTGGAAGCAGTTGACGGGCAGATGATCGTGATCCATCATCTGAGCGCGAGCCGGTTTTGCGGCAGACCCAAAACGGCGTCGTTATTCAGCTCGGGCCGTGTCGCGTGATCAGCGCGGCGCCTTCGTGACGGACTGGACGTCAAAAACAAACGTTCAGACGTCGCCCCCAAAACGTTCCTTTCCCTCGGCATTCCTCGCGAAGTCACGGAATGTGGATCTTCAGGTGCGCGAGAGCGCGCGGTTTGCTCCAGCGCAACAATTTGTTTCTCGAGCGTTCTCCGTGAGGTTCCTATTTATATATTTATTGCCGAACTTCAAACGCGTGCATCGCAGAGCTCTCCTCAAATCGCATCCCTCCTCCGCTGCCAAACACCGCCCGTGCAATCAGCGGACCATCAGAGCACAGATGTTCCCGAGAAAGTTACTCAAAAGAGGGGTTGGACGAGTTCCAGCGGCACTCCGGGCTCAAGATGTGCGCGTCGCTGCGACCGCTCGCTCCGCATGCCGTGCCCGTGCCATTGGTTTGGTGGCGTGCCGGTTGGCAAGGTGATGGCAGTGCAATTGGTGGCACGAGAGCCTCGCAGCAAGAAGGGCCTGAGTTCGATTCCCAACTCCGGCGCCAGAGGGTCATCCTTGTGCGGGCAGGGTCACGATGCTTATGCGGGCAAGGTCACAATGCTCATGCGGGCAGGGTCACGATTGCGCAGGCAGGGTGAAGCTCCAGTGACCCCTGAAACAATGTTGTTGAGTGGTTCTGAGTAACGTGGTTGTGAGTAACGTGGTTCTGAATAACGTAGTTCTGATAAACGTGATTCTGAGTAACGTCCTCCGCCGACGTACGTGAAATGCTGCTTCTCCCTCGCGTCTGGCAGCTCTCGGTGTGGCCACGTGTTCTGCGTCCGCGCTGAACGCGAAGTGAGCGACACTTTCTAACGTAATTTTCCAAAGAACAATAACTCCTCCTGGGTGTTCTGCAACTCTCTGGCTCTCTCAGATTCGTTGTTTCAAATGGATAGGATTAACGCTGTCCTTTACGTACCACGTGTGAGCGCAGCTAGCATGTGGAATCAATAATTAATTGCAATCTGACTGCGCTATTGCAAAGGCCTCTCTCCCAGGTGGTCTTTGGCAAAGAGACTGCACTTTGCAAGGCCTGCACTAGCCAGGGCCTGCACTAGCCAGGGCCTGCTTCACCCAGGGCCTGCACTAGCCAGGGTCTGCACCACCCAGGGTCTGCACCAGCCAGGGCCTGCACTAGCCAGGGTCTGCACTTGCCAGGTCCTGCTCTAGCCAGGGCCTGCACCACCCAGGGTCTGCACCAGCCAGGGTCTGCTTCACCCAGGGCCTGCGCTAGCCAGGGTCTGCACTAGCCAGGGCCTGCGCTAGCCAGGGCCTGCGCTAGCCAGGGCCTGCACTAGCCAGGGCCTGCGCTAGCCAGGGCCTGCACCACCCAGGGCCTGCTCCTGCCAGGGCCTGCACCACCCAGGGTCTGCACTAGCCAGGGCCTGCACCACCCAGGGCCTGCGCCACCCAGGGCCTGCACCAGCCAGGGCCTGCACTAGCCAGGGCCTGCACTAGCCAGGGCCTGCACTAGCCAGGGCCTGCACCAGCCAGGGTCTGCACCAGCCAGGGTCTGCACCACCCAGGGTCTGCACTAGCCAGGGTCTGCACTAGCCAGGGTCTGCACCACCCAGGGTCTGCACTAGCCAAGGCCTGCATGCCCAGCTTGCTGTTATTATTGTTGTGTTTACCCAGCGGGTGATTCATTCACGGCATAAATAACTTATTTTCACACCCGGGAACTACTGTGCACGGCAAGGTTACTTAACGCACACACGCACGCGCATGTGTGCGTGTGTTGCGTGTTTACCAAGAAGGATGACATAGTCCAGTGGCCATCAGCCAAAGCGTACGCAGGGCTGAATGACTTCAGTCAATGTTCCTTGTGTCACGGTGAAAGGGAGTCCGTGGATATTTACTGTCACTTGTGCAACAGAGACACGGGTCACTGTGGACGAGCGTAAACAACTGGGCACGTGTTTATTGTGGAGCATTAGGGTAAGAAATCAAGTGACTGGCCATGTCTATATGTAAAACAGACGATGTTTTAGTCCATCAGCTTGGGGCTTTGCAGAACGATATTGTCTCGTGCAGGGGTCGCAAACTGCGGCTCTGGGCTGCATGCGGTGGCTCTTTACGGACTGCAGTGCACGGCTCTCTGAAATAAATAAATAAATAACTATCTAAGGCCCATCTTGTTATGTTGGTTGCCCACCCCTGCCCATGGGAGTCCAGTTCACCATGGGAGTCCAGTTCACCATGGAAGTTCAGTTTCCTATGGGAGTTCAGTTTACTATGAGGGTTTAGCTTATCATGGAAGTCCAGATGACCATGGGAGTCTAGATTACCATGGGAGTCCAGTTCACCACGGGAGTCCAGTTCATCATGGGAGTCCGTGTACTTGTGAGTGTGCAAGTGTAGGTGTGAGTGTGCACGTGTGAGTGTGCACGTGTACGTGTGAGTGTGCACGTGTGTGTGTGTGCCAAGGGTGGAGCGGTAGTGCAGTGGTTAGCGCACTACGAACCCGGCGACCCGAGTTTGAGTTCCTCTCACAGCCAACATCAGTGACGAATATCTCAACCGGTCCTGGGCCTCCCCTAGGTCGTCTCAGCCTCAAATAAGTACCTGCTGCAGTGTGCAAACATCAGCACTGGGGAGACAAAGGTGGTCGGGTGTGGTCGCAGCCCCACTCACCCCCCTCGTGTGGCCTGCCAGCGCTAGCAGCACTTGCCCCAACACCCTGTTGGAGGCTATAGGGGGGATCTTTATCTTTGTCCGTGTGTGTGTAGGACAAGAGAGGTGTGCGTGGATGGGCCCATGAGTGGGAGAGCCACTGGGCACGGACGAGGTGGGGGGGGGGGGGGCTCTATACCGGTGGGAGTGTGGGGGGGGTGAAGCTGCGCTTTCAACCCCATCAAAGGCCTCCTCTGTGTTGCCGCCAGAAGGAGTTCGCGGCCGGGCGGTCAGCCCCACACTGCCTCTCTGTCCGCCGGCCGCCTCGGCTGTGGGGGAGCTCAATGCGCCCATTCTTAGCCCGGCAGCACTGACGCAACGTGCTGCTGCACCCTGCTCGGGTTTAACCGCGCCTGGGTGTTTCCATTGCAGGAGGGCGCAGAGAGAGGGAACGAGAGGGATCCGTGCGTGCCCCCCCCCCCCCGGACCGCCGCCCCCCTTGCGCGCCTGGCGGGGGGCCTCGATGGCTCGGATCCGCTTGGCCAGGCCCCCCCCCCCCCTCCCGGGTTGCTGGGGTGGTGTCGCGAACGCCGTTGGGTGAGGCCCTCCCTGGGCTCGCGAGGTTTGGGCCGACGTCCCCCCCAGCTCCCCCTCCGACACAAGATGGAAAGTTCCCTCGGCTGTTTTTAGTTTTTTTCCTTTCAGCGCTGCCAGCGTCTTAGAGCAGCCGGGATGGGCAAAAGGTGGTCGCTTGTGTGCGGGACGCGCGGCGTCCGCCCGTGTTTTTGTACGATTGTTTACGATGCGGCTTTGTTGTTGTAACCTGGTTTCCTTTGTGTGACCAGGTCCACATCTGAAGGTCGTTTGCCTGTGCACCGCAAATAAACAAACAAGCTTGAAAAAAAACCGAGCCTTGCTACAGGTGTGCCAACGGGGCAATTACGGGACAGAACATTTCCCAAACCTCCACGTTGAAACACGACCCGTGTCTCGGTTTGATCAAATGACAATAACCACTCCCGTCTGCTGTGCGGTGAGCACGTCCGTCCATTACACCGTGGCCTTAAAAATGGCAAATATATAATAGGCTGCATTTCTGCCAAGTTCCTCCTCTTTAAAACTATAAACTATTTTTTGTTTTACCAAGTAAGGCTCACTGAGCTGTATTGCTCTTTTTCAGAAGCGACCTGACCACAAATGATCGCTTAATGAAGTGGCCTATCACCACGTAGACATTATAGCGGACAAATACTCTAAAGGCGCGTTGATTATGAAGGTGGAGGGAAAAACCGGAGGACCCAGAGAAAAATCCACGTGATCACGGGGAGAGAGAGAGAGAGACGCAAACCCTAAATATACACACGTCAGGATCGGGATC